TGACGCTGCAAAACTACTCGGATGTGCTCCAACAAGTATGGGACAATGCCAGCAAGATTCGAAATGCACAAGCATCATTCAAGCTGCTGCTGTTTGTCTACATCGGTAACACAACATTAACGTCCTATAAATCAATTTTGTTTTGATTAATTTGAACGATGCAATTAACCAAAATAATTTTGTGGCATTTAGAAAAAGCGGCAAGCACCGCGATAAGACGCGCAACCTCAAGCAACATTGCAATGTCAGCGGTCAGAGTTGCGGATTATATTCGCGACCAAAACATCGTGCTTGGACCGCTCCAAACGGATTATACGGGGGTCGTTGCTGCCCGTTTGCCCGTGACTGCCCCCGTCGAAATACCGTCGAATGCAACAATGGACCAGCTTGGCCACATTGACAGCATGCTCGCCCAGCATGCTGTCGCCCGTCATCGCGAAAGTATCTCCCAGTCAACCGACACGTACCGCAGGGTGCGTATGCGCCTTGGCACGATGGCCAGCTCCCCTGTGGATATTTTCCTCTCGGTGGAAGACCTGGGTGGCATTCTGGGAATTCCCCCGTTCGACTTGACACCAATATTTAGGGCGCCAGTAGTGGGAGAAATTTCGGTGCCCAGCGTCAATGTTGAGGACAGTGATCATATTAATGAATAATTTCAGATCATTCCATTAAAAATGTATCTTTGTATAAATCTGTGGAATTGTAGCCGCCGTGACAGTACAAATTGAGTCCTATCTGCTCATCTTTTTTTGTGCATTCCACAAATGCTACATCTAATACTAACCGAATGTTGAAACGGAATGCCATGGGATATTTTCCGATCCAGCGCTTCAGAAGGCTAAAACCAACTTCAATGGGATTCAACTGCGGGGAATATGGCGGCAAAAAAAACAATAATGCGCCTCGGGCATGGACTGCGTCGTGAAGTTCTTTGTACATGTGAATTTTCGCGTTGTCCACGATCAATATCGAGCGCGGCAATGGCCAAGGGTTCAAATACTACAAAACGTTCCGGACCATGGCGTCGTGAAAATTTACACGGTCAAAAGTCCCTACATTAATTAATTATTAATGTGAATTTATCCCAAACAAAAAACTCCAAAATAAATATCAATCATACCATCGACATATTCCTAAAACAAAAACCCTGCAGTCGTAAATGAAGCCAGAGCCGAAACTCGTTGACCACGAGAAAAAAGGGCAAGTCCATAAACGCCTTTTGATTCCGCTTCGACCAGGCGTACTTGCGGATTGAGTCCCGGCCGTCCTTCGATGTCTCATCGACAAAGACCAGTTGATCAGAGTATGAGTAGTATGGGCTTAAGCGCCGATAGTAGTCCCGAAGTTCAAACTCAGCAGCCTCGCGGGCACGTTTCTCTAGGACTATTTACTCGAGAATTAATGCAAGAAATATGCTCTATTATACCTTTTCGCGTTAATCCTCGATCATGCATGAGCGCTCTGCATATCGAAGACGCTGAGATGTTGTTGAGCGACGGGAACTGCAGTCGCAGCGCCTCTTCGAGCTCCTCTATGTAGAAGCAGGGATGCGCGATGGCGTACTCGCTGACCCATGAGTTCACTTCCGGCGGCCATCTCTTCACCCGGACCCGCCTCTTCGTGTTGCAGACATGGCCAGTTGTCGAAAACATCTTGTTGAACCTGGTTACACTACGCTCGGAAATGCCAAGGAGGAGGCACACGCATCCGGTTTCGATTCCGTAGACTTGAACGAGGACAACGCATCTCCAGCGCATGTCAATGCTGATCATGGTAAAACAACTTGTTTGCCGAATTCAAATCGGCAAACAAGGTGATTAAGCTTAAACTCTGGCACGCCATCAATTACTTAGACAATCATCGTTGCGTATGCAGTTGTTTAAACATCGCCATCCGTAAAATTATGAATTCATCAACCGTAATATAATGGCTGGACAGGACTAATTCAACGACGAATTTTTTTTAAACCACGGATTTAGGCCTTGAATAGCCAGAATATATGAAAAGCACAATAATACTTGTACGTTCTACTATTATAGTAGTAGTAGTACGCTATAACAGTAACCTAACCAAAAAGGCGAATTAGTTTTCATTTATCCATAAATTTGTATGAACCAACCTTACCTTTTACTTCGAAGTACAAATTGAAGGATAGTTTCTTTCATGGACCCTGGTCAAAATATACAAAATATACGTATAAATGGAGGAAAGCGTTGTTGAAGGAAGGGCAACAAAGATCCGAAATCAAATTCACAAACCACTATGATGCGAGCCCTGATGAAGCGAGTGGTGCGAGGAGTGCGGCATGATGTTGAGAAGAGTCAATTTGTCTGCGAGGTTCGACGAAACAACACGGCTCAGATGTTGGGCTGCCTCATGTACAACATCAACGGCGGCAACATGGACCTGTACTTCACCCACGAACTGCGAGCCGGCCGCGGCGTGGCACGAGCATTGTGTGACGAAGCCTTTAAGTACGCTCGTACGTTCAAAACGTGTACCTTCCAGACAGAGCCACTGCACGTTCGGCCACGTCACTACTTCACACAGGCGTTGTTGTCCACAAGTCAAAACAAATGGGACTCTTTTCATGGACCAGAGTGGTAATAGATTAGGAGTCCCACTGTTTCGATGTAATAGTGTATTCAAGGCTAACAGTAAATTAGGGCCAGGTACTGATCTTCTCAAAATCCACTTTGACCAACAATAACTTAACGAAACATACATCGAATCCTTCAAAGCTTGCTTGTATGATGTAGCGCCATCAATC